TATGTAAGCTACATAAGGTTATTGTGCCCCACTGCCCTTAAGATGGGGTTGTTGAACTCCGAACAGATTTTTGTGAGGATTGAAGGTGAACATTATTTCATAAATAAAACACTTGCAGGGCCGGCCAGATAGCTCCGTGGACTAAAGCGTCTGCTTAGGCAGGTGCAGTGACTGGGGTTCGATCCTTGGGGTGCCCTGCTGGCCCCACCCCCGGGAGCACTCTGAGATGGTGCCTGAGATTGGGCGTGGTTGTGCACCTGTAAACCCAGCGCTTGGGAGGCTGAAAACAGGAAGATCACTACAAGTCTGATCTGTGTGGTGAGACCCAGTAGACCCTGTACTAAATACATAAAAAAAAAAAATTTAAATCATTTTTTTTTTAAAAAAGAAGAAAGGAGTGATTAACCACAGATTAACCAGATTAAGTGGGTATGAGTTTGAGGAGAAGAGCACATACCACAGCGAGCACATACGCTAAGGAAGCTGTGCTGCGTTTGAAGTATAAGCTTGAAGCGGGCTGCTCATTCAGCTCTCCTAAGATATTTCCAAAGTAAAGAAGGGAACAGAATGGACAGGGCACTTAGTTCCAGCACAGCAGGGGCAGGAGCCTGTGGTCAGGAGCTCAGGAAGGGCCACTCGGCACTGCGATACGCTTCCAAACACACTTCAGGACTTTCTATCCATCACTGAGGTCACAGCCAACGGGTCTAAACCAGAGGAATGAACAGCAGCAGGAAGGAGCTGCTCTCGTTCTGCCCCAGGCCAGCACAGATGATCAAAGCCCACCTGATGAAACGCTGCCTTGGACTCTTTGGCCAATCAGATGCAGTCCAGTTGATGCAGCCGCTTGGCGTCCATGAGCGCCACCCGCCTCGCGCGCTCCGAGTGATGGCGTGAAGCAGAGCCATCGGCCCAAGCGGGAAGTGCTGCCTGCAAGTGCTTACTGGTGCTTACTGTAGAGTGCAGTACCCACATGCCCAGAAGCATCTCACGCTAAGTGCAATTTACACAGTATACAGCTTCCAAGTCACGTACACTCAGCCTGCCCCTGACTGTGATTTATTTGTGTACTTGCAGGAGGACGAGGTGGTCTGCTGCGCCGACTGCTGTAGGTGGCTGTGTGCCGCTGCTCAGAGTCTTTTCATTTATATCAATAAGCAAACCGGAGGAGCAGGCTTAAAATTCCTCACAGAATATTTCATTAAAACAAATGGTAGCAACTACCAGAGATAAAGCAAGTGCTTTATTAATTATTTTAATGTATTAAGTACAGGGTCTACAGGGTCTCACTACACAGATCGGACGTGCAGTGATCCTCCTGTTTTCAGCCTCCCAAGCGCTGGGATTACAAGTGCTTGCCACCACGCTCAGCCTCAGTTGCCGTTTCAGTGCACCGCTGGTGGTGGGGCCAGCACGGCAGGTGGGGGATCAAACCAGGTCCCTGAGCCTGCTTAAGCAGGCACTTTAGTCCTTGAGCTTCCTGGCTGGCCATACACTCCTTATTTCTTGATCTCAGTTCTCTGAGCCAAAAAATGATGGCATAGAAAAAAATTATATAGATATAGATATAGATATAGATATAGATATAGATATAAATATATGGTATTGAAGACTGTATCAATAACATTTAGCAATTTATGCAGTACTATGTTCCCGTCACTAAGTATTTCACATCATTTGTATTAGCTTACATTTATGTGCAGATTTTTTACTCTCTTTATGGATGGAGAAAATGAGGCGTGGGGTGCCTAAGATACCTTTCCCAGTTCGCACATTTGTGTATGAACACATCTGTGCCTGGAACACTCTGCCCTTTCCATTTCTTGTAGTGTGCATCGGCAAATATGGTGGTAAATAATAGAATTTTCTCTTCTTGACATCCTTCTAAATGTTCCAACCTAAAATAGTGTACTGTATCAACTGGCATCCTGGTGTACATGGTATACACATGGTAAATATTCACTAAATTGTTAAAAGAGTGTTAGGTGTCTGTGTAGCACTGCCTAGTGACGTATGTGTCCATTGACACTATGTTACGGCCCTTCATGGGCACAGTCACCTCCGTGACTTCACTTGACCAACGTAAGAGTCCAGGCCTATAGCAAGTGCCATCAGCTGTTCCTTTTGACCCTTTCTGCTCATACAAGTCTCGTGTGTCCGTAAGCTCAGTCAGGAATGGGACTTTGTTCATCATCTTATCTCTGTATGTCTGGTACACAGCAAAACCTAAGGGATGTGAATGAAAGCAGTGGAAGTGGCTCAGACCACAGAGTGCTGCTCTGCTCACCCGTCCGGTCTCCACCGAGAGCTGGCCGTGGTCGCGTGCCTCCAGGAGCCCCATGCCCTACGGCAGCCCTGTGGCCCCACGTCCCAGTTCTGATGCCAGCTAGCCTCCACCGGGTGTGTGCAACTTCACGGACAGCGCTTTACTGGCATGCTCCTGCTGGGCTGGCACTAATGGGGCTTAGGTTTTAGTTGTTTTTCTCATAATAAGGATGGGCTTTCATTGATTTTTCTCATACTAACATTTTAAGTACTCATTAATACATTTTGCCAATTTTCACAGTAATGAAAGAAAACCCTATTTAGCAGGCATGTTAATATATGAATTGAAGCTAAAAAATAAGATGACTGGCAAGGCTAGCTTATACTGTATGGAAGAAGGATCATTTTTAATGTTTAAAGCTTATTTTTTCTGTCATATAAATATATTCATTATATGAAGAAGAAAGAATGTGAGACTTATTTAGCATCTTCTAGGTCTCACACCAGGGAAATATTTTGCATGTGCTACTGCATGTGATTTTTTTTCAATTGGATACAGGGTCTCACTACGCAGTTCTGACTCCTAGTGGTCCTCCTGTCTCAGCCTTCCCAGCACTGAGATTTACAAATGTGCATCAGTACATCTGGTTTCAGGCCAGCACTATGTGCCCCGGGGACCCAGGACCGGCACAGCATGCAATATTTGGGATTGAACCTGGGTCATTGGGCTTGCCAGGCAGCTGCCTGTGAGCTTACAAACAACCTTGAAGAAAGACAGACCTTGCGGTCAGGACCTTCCAGCCCACTTGCTGTGTGACTGTGCGGAAGCCTGTAGCCTCTCCGAGCATTCCTTGTCTGTAAACGTATATGCTCGTCTTACAGTTGGTGTTTGGAATAGGATTTTACTGCTTCTCAACACAAAAGGAACAATTAAACTGGAATCAAAGTAGTGCAAATGCCATTGTCATGAGGCATCTGGAAGGCATCTCGGTGTCCCACATTTTTCAAGCCCCGTCTTACCATGTATCAACAACTTAGACATATAGACAAAAATTAGCAAGAAATAATTCCATTTCAGATCAGACAATGAGATACTGTAGTAAAACCATTTTATAAGAAAAAATACTTAAGGGCTAGCAAGATAGCTCAGCAAACTAAGCTCCTGCTTAGGCGAGCACTGGGCTCGGGGTTCGATCCTTAGCACCACAGGCCTCGCTGGCCTGCCCCCAGGGACGCTGAGCCGGCCATGCAGACCGGATGTGGTGGTGCGCTCCTGTGATCCCAATGCTGGGAGGCTGAAAACAGGAGGATCACTACGAATCCACGCTGTAGAGTGAGACCCTGTACCAAATTTAAAAAAAGGAAAAAAGAAAAGAAAAAAGAAAAAAAAAAAAAACACTTATCAAAGAAGCTCTGCAGATTCTGATAGAAATAATTACATAATTATTTTAGTGTTCTGACAGTATGTAGAATTCCTTGTTTTCATTGTCTGACTCATAGAAAAAGGGAAATTTATTGTCGATTAGTTAAATAAAATAAAGCATTTTAGATTGGAGTGTTTCATATTTTCTTTAAAGTTTATTTCATTCTTGAAATGAGATTATTTGTTATTTCACATTTTCCTTTAAGGAATTGAATCCATCTGTATTGCCTAGGTAGTGCGCGGTAACAATTTCAGATATCAGTGGTCGGAACAAAAGGCAGCTGTGTTCCCTCAGGCTCCACCTACGACCATGACCTGGTGGGACAGCTGCTTGGTCCTGCCTCACAAACCTGCGCCGAGAGCATGCTCATCTCTTTGCTTCTGTAACTGCGGGACCGGAGACCAAAGGCCTGGGAACAAGGCCCCGGGAACAAGGCCCCGGCTCTTACGCGTTTGGAACAAGAGACAGGCGTTACTTCTCACCTTTTATTGGCCAAAGAAGTTCTCATGATTATGTGGTTTAAAAGTGGTTCCCTCCAACCATTTGATTGGAAGCCAGAAAGCCAGAAGTTTTCTGTAAGCCACTAACAGTCTCTGCAAAAGATGTCTTATTAATTATATTTCATGTCAAAACCACAGAAGTAGTATATAGGAGATAATAAATTATAGCAAAAATCTTATGCTTCTTACTGGACTAAGGGTGTGCACCACCATGCCCAGTCTCAATCATGCTCTCAACATGCCCGGGGGTTGGGCTGGCATGGCACACTGGGGATCAAACCCTGGTCGCTGCATCTACCTAGGCAGGCGCTTTAGTCCACTGAGCTATCTGGCCGGCCTTTTTATTAAGTTATATTTTGAATTAAAGCTAACATTTAATGCAGATTGTCTTTTACCCAGCATTCAGTCGCTCAACAATTATGTACTTTATATCTGCATTTATTGCAGTGAAAGCAAGAAATATAATGGTGTAAATTTTTTTTAAAAAACCTTATGCTTCTTTTCCAGTATAATACTGTAAAACTATGTGAAAATAAGAAAGTTGCCCTCCAACAAATTCAGTCTACTATTGAATCAACAAAGTGGCATTTCTCCTATTTGACAAAATTCAGACAATGTTTTTACTTTTGCAAGTGGTTAACAGTTAGAGTTCTTAACGGAATAAATGGGGTAGGGGAAGTGAGATGCATGGCTAGTTGTCAAAACTGGTATTTGAATGAATGGTCAGAGATGGCCTTATGTCACATAGGAGACACTTGAAAGCTATTTTAGAATGCTGAACAATCAAAGCTGGTGTTTTGTCTCCCTTTAGGAAAACATAAACATTGATGAAGCCTCCAGGTGCCTGGTGAAGCACATCCTTGCCAGCGAATGTGACCTCCTGGAGTCGCTAGAGCCGGACGTTGTGAAGCCGCACCTTGCCCCACCCAAGGTTGTCAGCTGCTCCAGCTGCGCCAAATCTTAGTGGGCTCCTCTGCTGGAATGTGCTAGAAATGGGCCCACGACCCCATACATTGTGCCTCATTTTTTACCATTTTGGGTAAGCATCAGATTAAGAAAGTGTGGCAAATCAGAGATCTCTGCCTAAGTGTTTCCTGTAAGAGAGAAGTAGCCAATGTCCTTTTCGTTTTATTGCTCCATCAGTTTTTACAAGCTTTTAAAATATCTGGTCTGTTACAAAATTCTGTTGTGTTGTCCAGCAAACATTTGTAGGGCTGAGTGAGCCCAGGCATTTGCTCCTTTACATCAGCAAAGGCCTTCAGACTTGAGGAGAAGAGAGACAGCAATGAAGCTGTCGAGTGAAGCAGTGTTGTCTGCCTTGTCGCAGGGTGTCTTTGTTCAGATTTCATTCTGTGCAGCCCGACAGGCCTGTTAGGTAGAGATAGTGTGTTCCTCAGAGACGCCCTCCATTCTCTGCAGACCTGAGTGCTGCTATGATTCGGCTCTTCAGAGTCCTGTACACAGGCTGCCGTGCCTTCGCGGCCTTCGTCCCCACCTGCCACACCGCGAATGCTGGGTGAACTGAACGCAGTATGAACAGAACCGCCCCCTACCTGTGCCTCTTTGTTAGCTTTCTCCAAACCAAGCTGTGGGACTCTGCGCCACGTGTAATATATAATATATATATTTTCACAAGTGAAAAATAAAACATTAAAAGATGCTGTTCCTCTATTTCTGAAAGTGTTTTAAATTTCTTAGTACTAGGATTTCTTTCACAGTGTAACTATGCCTCTCAAGATCTATTTCTTAACTTTCGTTCAGAAAGGACATGAGACATGGAGATGAATCTACACTGTTGACACTACTTTTGTATCAGCATGTAGGTCAAGAAAGAAAATCATGTCCATACCTCTTTTAGTTAACCAGAGGAACACGTTTTACATCCTGATCAGGAACGTACCACTGGAATCAGTGTTAAAAGTGAGAACTAAAACATGCACAGAGACACCTTGTTTTACCCAGTGGTTGCGATGATAATGTGCTACAGGAAGTTAGTGTTTTGTTTGTTTGTTTGTTTGTTTTGGTGGTACCAGGGATCCAACTCAGGACCTTGAGCTTGCCAGGCAAGTACTTATTCCACTGAGCTATCTCCCCAGCCCAGGAAGCTACTATTTTTAATGATGTTGTTTTCCACTGACACACAGCAGACCCTCCAGGAGCACTTTCTTTTGTAGCAGGTGACTTTCAATGTTCTACTGTGACAGTCTTGGCCTCCACTGTTTCTGTAAGCATTGACCACACAACCTCCTATTCTAATACCTTGAGAGCATTCTCTGGTCCCTGAAGCAGTTGGCCATGAGATGCCAGGAAGGTTGTATTAGGAGGGGTTGGGGGATCAACAGAAAGAACATTCAGAGGCATGTCCTGTGAACTTTCAGAGGTCCCAGCAAGATCAGCCCTTGGTTCCCACAGAGGAGATCTTCGTATTTTACTTGATCTGTATTCATTTCCTTTCCTTTCCTCCCTTATCTCTGAATGCATCTGCTCACGCTTTACAAGTTCATCAGATAAGCTGCAATCATTAAATACTGTTTCAGGGTTTTGCTATGAGAGAACCCACTATGAGTTAGGCAAGTTCTGGTCCTGGGTCATGGATCACTATCATAAGCTGGAATCACCCACCAGCGAGGTGACATCAAGGACTGATGGACAGTGTGGGAGACTTACAGCACCAGAGTTACTAAGACCCATCAGGTGGCCTGGATAAAGGCTCAAGGAAGTGCCTCTGCTCTTGAGTTTGAAAGACATGTTATTGCAAATTTAGTTATCTGCTGTAGAACCCCTGGGCGAATGGGGGAGATGTGAAGACCTAAGTATGGGCAGCGCTTTGGTTAAGACCCAAGAGCACATTCAACAAAAGCAATAATAGGCTGGGCGTGGTGGCGCATGCCTGTAATCCCAGCACTTGGGAGGCTGAAAACAGGAGGATCATTACAAGTCCGATATGCGTAGTGAGACCCTGCAGACCTTGTACTGAATACAAAAAAAAGAGCAATAATAGACAAAGGGGGTTATATCTGCACAACAACAACAATCAAAACAGTGAAAACAAAGGCAAAACAAAAAAAGGGAGATATAAGTAAAGGACCATTTTGTAGTGAAAAAATATATGTATATACAAAATAGTTAGGATAAATATATAGCTACCTTCTACTAGTTCAATGAGAAGGAAGTACTAATATTGCTTAGTCGAGATGTCATGTCTGCATGTTGTCCGCTGAATAACTACCACAAAGACAACAATATGCAATGTATTAATTGCTGTAACTGTCCTACTAACCTGTTTTGAAATTGTTTCATTGCTATTTTTCTCATTAAAATGAATAAAAAATTAAAAAATAGTGAACAAAACTAACAGCATGGCAGAAAATATTTGCAAACCATTTGATAAAAAACTGAAATGCAGAATAATTAATAATGTCAATAAAACCTCAACAAAATCCCATAAAGCAATTACAATGGGCAAATGATATGAATATGTGTTTCTCAAAAGAATGAATATAAATAGTTAACAAGTACATGAAAAAATGCTCAACATAATTATTCACAGGAAAATGCAAATAAAATCAATCAAAGACAGGCATCTCACCTAAGTCAGAACAGCATAAAAAGCCTAATAAATGTCGAGCAAGATATAGAGAAAAGTGATTTCTGTCACTGTTGGAGGGGAGGTAAATTAGTAGTCAAAAATCTAAGAATAGATCCAGCTATCGCAGTTCTAGTATGTGTACAAAGCAAATGAAATTACCATGCCAAGAAATATCTAGAGCAATACTATTCCTAATAGGCAAGTTGTGGAATCAACTGAGGTGCCCGTCGACAGGTGGATCTGCACAGCACATCTATACGTGCACAGGACAGCATCATTCCACCACCCGCAAAGCAATCTTGTGATTGATGGCAAAAGGGATGGAACTGGAAAATACTATGTTAAATGAGATAAGCTAGACACAGCCAGATATGGCTTGGTATGTCAAACATGGAAATAGATGGCATTAGGGTAAGAGTAGAGTAGTACTTACCAGAGGGTAAGGAGGGCAAGAGGAAAGAGAGTACTGGCAATTTGGACAACAGGAAATGAACCACAGTTGGGAGGTGTATGTCCTGAGCTGTATAGGACACGGCATCATTGTAGTTTGTAATAATACATTATATATTTAATGAAGGGCTGGAAGAGATGAGTTGAAGTTCTCAAAAACTGGTAAGATGATGAAAATTCAATGTACATCTTATATGTATTGATATATCATACTGTGTTCCATAAGTACATTCAACTATGTGATCATTAAAAAATGAAATGATTTTTTTTTGTCTTTTTGAGACAGGGTCTTGCTATGCAGTTCAGGCTGGCTCTAGGCTCACTTTGTAGCCCAGGCTGGCGTTGAACTTGCACCGATCCTCCTGTCTCAGCTTCCTGACTGCTAGGGTCACAGCAAAGCACCGCCATGCCAGGCTGATGAAGTGAATTTTTAAAGGACAAGAAAGTTAGGAAGGGGAAAATATCAACTCACGCCAGCCTGCTCTTCACTTAGGGTTTGGTGTGAAGGCTGCAGACCTCAGCACCAAGCAAAGAGACCTTCATTTTCTTCAAACAGAGCATAGACCAGGATGTAAACGGGGCCAAAGGCCTGACTTTTAGAGACAATAAGTTGAAATCAATCTGAATTCACAGAGCTACCAAGTGCCTCTCACAAAATCAGGAAAAGAAAAGGACACTAAAATATAAGATAGACACATGGGCAAATATTTCAAAAGTCTTGAGCCCCCAGGTTTCTCCAAAACTAACCCAGAAAATGAGACCCCATCCTTTCCACTGCTGAATGGCTAAATGTCCTGTGAAAACACCATCTCAGAAGAATGTTTTGAAGTGTTATTTGCCTTGGTAACATTCTGCTCTCATTTCCTGTCACTGGGCCTACACAAATAATTAGACCTAAGTCTTGGCAGGATCGAGGTAGAGAAAGATGGTCAGTGGGGCAGGATGAAATCCGCTGTGCATCACATGAATCACAAGACCGGGTGGGGTGCTACGGATAATTGCCTTGCTGAGACCCTGGGCCAGAGGACAGAACGCAAGACATAGAGTAGACGGCTAGCTACACAGGTGTGTTTTGGGATTGTAACATTTCTGCATTTGCACCAGTGGTTGACTTTAATATGCTACCGAATGCCTGCTTGAAGCTTGCAAACAATATTGGCCCAAAATAAATGATATGTGGAGGCTAGAACTACCTTGACAAAGTGCTGGCAAAGAGATCGAAGATTTCACAGAAGTGGGGATGCTAGAATTTACTTTGAAACCTATCAGCTGACTAGTTTTCTGAGCTAAGTCTAGAAGACACTCCCTGCACTAAAGCAGTAAGCAGTCTTCCAAAGAGAGGGACCCAGCATCAGTGAGAAATGCAATGGTAGTTGTTTAGGTGTTATTTTTATGATGATGATTTATTGACATTAAATGGCAGTTAAAACAAATACAATAAAACAAAAAAACTAAAAGCACGTTTTATATCTCTGTCTCTTTGATGCTTAAGATAAAATTCCATGAAGCAGGCAGCTGATATTTACTATTTTGAATTGCTTTTCAAAAGAGAAACTTTGGTTCCATAAACACAACAAAAACACAACAAATCCGTGAACAGCAGCATTGACAATTGGTGGTTTATAAAATACATATAGATCAATGATTAGGTTGAAAAAAAAATATATATATATATGAAACTTAAAGTTACTATTTTCTAGATGAACAGAAAAATGAATAAGTATAAATTAGTTCCATAATTGAGTACCTCAGTATTTCAGAATAAAACAAGAGTGGCTTTCACTTGGGTTGAAGACTGAGAATGCTTACAGCTACTCGCTGTTTTTGCTTAACTAGATTCGGATCATTCTAAAACTGCACCTAACTTTACAAAAGCAAAGTAATTATGAAATCTAGGTCAAATTAGGTAGCAGTGTAAATTGGAGAACTATAGAGCTATCTATCCAAAATTGTTTTCTGTTTTCTAGTTAGCCTATCAGTGAATACAAGAGGGTGAGAAAAAAAAATACACTGTTCTCCTCAGGATAATTCTTCTCAAAAGATGATTCCATCTATGGAGAGTTTTAACTCAGGCGTTATTTACTCTGAAAGTAATTTATAACCAAGATGAATTGGAACATGAAGATGCCCAAGCGTAAGCCAGGATGTCACTTGTGAGCCGACTGCGCAGACCTCTGTGGTGGGTGTCTGTGGATGAGATTCAACCTTTTAAAGCTGTTGCTGTGTATTGATGGGAATCACTTTGCACACGATAAGGCTAAATATTTCATAATAAAATGATGGAAGTGTACTCAGTGCTACGTTCTGGATAGGACCAGAAGGTGGACTTGAATAGGATCTGCTTACTGTCACTTTTAATAATCTACTTGAAAATGTGCTTCTTGTTATAGCTTCAGGTTCTGCAGAATAACGGGTCTTTATACATCCGCCAGAGCACACAGGCTTCCACTAACTTTATGACTTCGCCTTTGCCTGGTTGCTTGGGGCAGCTCATGCCCACAGACCAGCTGTTTGGAAAAGTAGTTACTGGGGCTGGGGAGGCAACTCAACAGTGCAGCATCTGTTGAGCAAGTGTGAGGCCCTGGGTTCGAGCCCCAGTACTGGGAAAAAGTATTTACTCCCCAGGCAGGGT